ACTTTTCAAACTCCATCTGGTAACAAATAAACTGAAAATGTGATAATCAATTTGTTTATCCAAACTTTCACTGAATCAGTTTGTGTATCTGTACTAAAATCTGGTTATATGTTCTTGTTCTATAGCTGAGCAGCTTGATCTGAAGCTTTGTTTCCTCAACTTTAAGAGTGGTAGACAGGTGGCAGTGACTCTTGACATGACCTGTTTGAAAAGGTAGAGTCCTATCCAATTTCCTTGATTATCTTTTTGCTTATCTGATGTAGAATTTTATTCCAATATTGATTGGCTGGATACAATCCAGCGACTCCCGTATAATGAGTATTTAAGCATTGTATGTCGCTGCTGCAAATTACTATTGTCCTGTTAGGATTGTCTAGTTAACAATGGGATGCGAGATTATACGCAAATGTTTGTTGTTACTAGTCTGTCAGTATCCTCTATTGAGATAATATGCAAATGTTCGTCGTTACTTAATCAGTCAGAATCGTCTTTGCCTTCCATACCACAATGTGCTTTATACGTATATATACCTTAGTGCTTTGAGTAAGTAGTGACTTGTTTGTTGGATTCTGGACAGTGGGGTTTATCCCTCGGAGATTCTTCCGCATCAGATACAGGCTTCCTCCGTATCTGCAGTGGAAAAGGCGCTGCCCGAGTCACTATTAGCTGAAATGAGAGCTGCAGCTGAGATTCTTGAATCTGGATATACGAGAATAAAGAGGCTCTGTAAGTGTATCTCCAATGTGGTGTAACTTCACACACGTATTTCCAAGGGAGGTGAAGCGTGTCGCCAATAAGTCGTTGGAATTTAACTTAGGTTACCGTAGTCGTATGTATATGTATATTTTTTTTATTTTGAGAAGAGCGTAGTCGTATATATAGCTAGAGATGGTTCGACAACTCGGATTTTTCTCACCCAAATCCTAGAGGGCAGTTTTTTTTTTTTTTTAATCAAGTTCTATCGCTCGAGCCGTGCAAGGTCACTAACATATTGAACTTGTTGTGGTTGAGCACACATGCTTCTCTTTGTTGTAAGTTCAACAATTATATAACCAGCAATTCATTCATATTTTTGCTACTACGACAACAAAGCCTTATCTTACTAAATGAGGTCGGCTGTATGAATTTTAAAACGTCACTGTCTTCGATTTTGCGTTAAAATTTCTGTTAGCTTCAAATACTTTTTGCCATTGACCCCAAAAAAAAAAAAAAAAAAAAAAACGAATCGTTAGTAGGGTAGAAGGGGGATTTTATTTATTTTTTAAGACCAAAAGAAAAGTGGAAAAGGGATATTTTGTTGGTGCAATGTCGACTAGTCTTTTGTGAAAAATTGGAATCTCCCATATAAATCGACAGTTGGATGTGTCATGGGCTAGACTTGCGGAAGCTATCGTCGGCTTGTAAGGGAGAAGATATTATTTGTCCAAAAGAAAAAGTGCGAGATATTTTCTTGGTCTAATCTTTAGAAAAAATCTGGGTTGAATGGTCAAATGGCACCCAACCTGTTTTCATGCGGGCGGTTGCCTCAGTGGACAATTTATCCTTAATCGTTACGAAATGTAATTTCTGGTTTGCAAAAATTGTATCGGGACTTGGATTTTGATGGGACAGGTGGAGATTTTTCACTTAGAGCAAAACGGTAATATGCCAAGAGTTTGTCCAATCGATAACTCATAATTGTTTACATGGCCTACTTTGGATTTGAGGAATACTAATAATAATCGTCTTTTAATGCTTATTGACGTTAATAATCACTTACGTGAGCAAACTGATAATAGGCAAGAGTTTGTCCAATGGATGACTCAATTGTTGGCGACGGTGTGCCGTATGTTGAGTTTGAAAAACGTTAGTGATAGTTGTCTTTTAACGCACATTAACGGTTGACAATCACTTACATATGTTAACAAGTGTTGACGTGCCGCATTTGGGTTTGAAACCATCAACAATTGATAATCACTCACGTGCAATGATTTTCCTCATCTCGTGTTTGAAAATGCAAATGGCAATCACCCACTCTTGACATTACTGGATTTGTGAGTCCACAATCACATCTAATTGTCCCACGCACGAGCTTTCCTTACTACTGTTCATGGGTGACTTTCATATATATCTTTAACTTCCACTCGAGCAAGCTACCCTTTCTACGTGCAAGATTAGCAGATATATAATTAATAATTATAAATCATGGAGAGCCCAAGAATATTCTGGTATGCAAAACTTAGGTCAACTTCTTAATTTTCTTTCTTTTTGCTGGACTTCAATGATACGCTTGCTAATAACCCCAATTATTTGGTATCTTTTGTCCTTTATCAATGGCACGGGGAGTCACTGGTTGCCTTGTCCACCAGGAAGTCCACCAAGGTTTAGATATGAGAGGATATCACGGGGGCACGTGGCATGATCTGAAGGGGTCAAATTATGCAGAAGAAGGTTACTTTGGTAAATACAAATTAACATAGTATTAAAATTGAAAGATATGGAAAAAGGGAAGCACTTTTTGTGAAAGTGCGGTTTGTAAGTTGAATCTCACATTTATTTTTTTGTTCAGTTCGAGTGGCCTTTCAGCTGCCTTATCTCTTATTACAATTAGTATATAAATTGGGTAAATCTTGTATATATTCTCCACTAACCACAATACATAATACATAGTTTACCTTAATACATCTGATTAAGCTCATCTAATATACTTATCTTCCTATCACCTCCCCACTTTTTTTTGTTGCTTCCAACTCCTTTGGGGTTTGGCCATTTGTATGATTTTGGTATGATAAACAACTACCCTAGCTTTTGTGATATATTGGGGGTTAACTCTAACTTTGGGAAGCAACTTACTTGCAATTAGAGGCGGCAAATTAACTTGTTGGATTGTTAATGGTTCTCCGTTATGACCCGTTTAATATCAACATAATATAGAGGTGGAATTGGTAATAATGATGAGGGTGTAAGGTGAATTCAAATTTAATGGGTATTAGCCACCTCTAATTGCAACGCGCTATATTTCTTTTACTATTTGCTTCTCTCATTGCAGGATAAGTCACGTGGTCATTTGAGGAGAGAACGAAGACAAAACATTGTACATTTGTTGCATGTAAGTTCTCTTCTAATCAACCTTAGGGATATGATAGGTATAAATCGTCATTAACAAACATGAAACAAATGAATATACATACACCTTATTGCATGTAAATTTCTTTTCTAATTAGCTCAGATGTTATTATAGGTAAAGAATCGTCATTAAGAAAAAACAACAAAAATGAAGAAGTATACACATAGTTACATGCAAGTCTCTTTCACGATCAATTCCGATGCCATAATAGGTATGGAATCTATCATTTTTAGAAAGGTAAGAAAAGGTACATTCATACACAATAACCTTATCCTTATGATGTATTATGGTTTTATCCAATTCAATCATGTACGACGGACATGTTCGATTCTAATCAGATTGTGTAATAAGCAATGCATGTGAAATATAAGGTGAGATGGATGCACCGTAGTTATGGTAGGCCTTAGGAAGTAAAATGTGCAATTGTAGGGTGTAGTAGGTCCCATGACATATGACTCATGAGAGGACCTATTATTTTTGAATGTCAAATTAATATATTGGACATTTGAGACTTTATTTTCACTTTTTGGAGAGTCTTGTTCATGTCAAGTTGCCTCGTCCACACTCATATGAAGGTTTCTAGAGCTTAAAGGATTGGATTTATGGGGATGTAGCAGCTAGGCGAGGGTACAAAAGAAAAGTACCCTAAGATTGGATTGGATGGCCGTCTAAGGCATCACAATCAAATGAAAACTAAAATCAAATCAGATACGAAATAAGTCGGTTAACGAGCGCGTTATTTTATTATTAATTGAATATCTTATTTCGTAAATTAAAGTGTTATTTTATCACAATCTTAAAAAGGAGACAAATTTAATTGTAGCCAGTTGTTTAGTACATTGTATTTGTTCACTTACATTTGAAATCAAATCTTCCTCCCTGTAAAATAGATTAGTGGTTTATTAAGTTCAAATAAAACCTTTACATCAGCATCTAAGGTATTAAAAGTTCAAATTAGCTCTATATGATATGATTCTATCTTAAGACTTGTTTGGAAGTGCTTTTAAAATGGCTGAAAGAGTTTTTGGAGAAAACGTTTTTTGGCTCTAAAAGCACTTAAAATGTTTCATGCAAGAAGCACATAATCGGTGCTTCTTGCTTGAAGCATTTTAAGTGCTTTTCAAAGATTCACTTGCATTCTTACTAAAGATTAGTACCAAAAATATTTTTCTCAAAATACTTTCAGACATTTTAAAAACACTTTCAAACTAACCCTTCAACTATTATAGAACATTACTTTGTAAGAAGAAAAAAATAACAAAGGAAAAAATCAGACCAAGGGAAACAAATAAACAAAAAATCTAGGGACAGATGGTGAGATAAGAGACTAGGACATGTGACATGCCAACATCATGTGGAATTAGTCCATGGAAAGGGATCCTTCGGATGCCTTCCATCTAATCCTCCTCATCAAACAATTCGGATCCTTAAAATTTGATTTAACAATTAAAAATAGAGATCTACTCTAAAAATTATAGTAATTTTCGCTGTTGGATCAAATTTTAAAGATTATAATTATTTGATAAGAAAAATTAAATGGAAAGAATCCGAAAAGGATGAGAACTACAAGGAAGCACTTTTAAATCGCTTTCCCACCTTATTTCTCCAAAAAAAAAAAAAAAGAAAAAAAAAAAGGAAAATAGAATTCCCAAATGAAATGAAAAACAGAGAATGAGAGAGAGAGAGGAGATATTAAGAGAGAAAGTTAGCTTGGAAAATTAAATATGAATTTATATGATGGAGGGACCTAGAAAAGTGAAGGGCCTAACTTTTTCCTTTCACTATGAAAAGGACAGGGACCCACACCAAGTAATGCACTTTTGATTAACTTTGCTGAAGTCACCATCTATGGAGCCCCTCTGACACCTTCACACCCACCCCTCCCCCTCCTCCCCAACCCAATCTTTCTATCCTTCTCATCTCCACACAAGAAGAGCAAGAAAATTTGGGAAACCCCCCTTCTCCCAACCAAAAAAAAAAAAAATCCCAGAAAACCCAAAAGAGTTCATACCTTTAGGGTTCCTTCACAAGCTTGTAGATTTGTATTTCTTTTGTAATAAAAAAAAAAATTCAAAAGCTGCCTGTACACCGATCTTATCCTCCTCTCTCTTGGTAAAGTTTCCTGAATGTTCTCTGTATGTTGGCTTTTTGTTTCTGTTACTAATTTTCAGGCTTATTTGTAGTTCAAAGTTTTATTGGGTGTTTGTAGTAGATTTACTTTGATTTTTCCTCTGTTGGTGGGTCTGACAATTCTCATCTGAAAATTCAGATGGTGTGAAATAATATGTAGGGCCTAATTGAATTACCCTTTTATTCATTTTTTTTGTTTTGATGAGATATTTGAAGCCAAAATCTTTGCTGAAAAGCTTGTTTAATCTGTCTGTTCACCCAAAAGTTTGTACTTTTTGTGTTTTTGGTGATGCAAGATTGTTAAATTTATTTACTTTTTTTACTTGCTGGTTATGTTTTCTTGATATCTGCAAATTTGGTTTTTTTGTATGAATTTGATGTTGTGAAGCCCTTGTTTGAAATGATATTTTGGATTTAGGATCCAATTTTTTTCAGATTAGTACTTGGAGCATCTCCTAGACAAGTGAAAAATGATCTGAAAGTTTTTATGTATTTGATAATTGACATAGTAAGTTCCTTGTTTCGATTTCGTTCTCTACGAAAACTTGTTCATGTTCTTCCTGTAAGATCTTTTGACAGCAATAATACTGAATTTCTGTTTATGATGTTGTTTGAAGGTTGTAGTCAGATATATTCAGCAGAATTGTTGTCTTTCTGAGAAGCTGGTTTCGGTTAGATTCGTATATAGTTTGGATACAATTTGGAAATTTTTGACTGGAAGAGGAGAGAAAAAAAGTTGAAGCATGGGTTACATGTGTGATTTCTGCGGGAATCAAAGGTCCATGGTGTACTGCCGGTCTGATGATGCATGCTTGTGTTTATCGTGTGATAGAAATGTTCACTCTGCAAATGCCCTCTCTAGGCGTCACTCGAGAATACTTATTTGCGATAGATGCAATTCGCAACCCGCATTTGTAAGATGCACAGAAGAGAGAATGTCTCTTTGTCAGAATTGTGATTGGATGGGTCACGAAGCATCTACCTCAGCTTCCATGCATAAGAGGCAGGCACTTAATTGTTACACTGGCTGCCCATCATCTGCCGAACTGTCGTCTATCTGGTCATTTGTATCAGAATTACCTTCTAACGGAGAATCTGCTTGCGAGCAGGAAATGGGATTGATGAGCATCGCTGACAACAGCACCGCAACCGATTGGAACCAAAGTGAAAGTAACACCAGGCAAAATGCATCCGGTGCAGATGAAGTGAATGCTACGCATTCCATGCATAAGTCTGGTGTTCTGGTTGGTTCCCCTTCGTTGCCTGAACGTAATCATGCTCGTCATGTTGTTGGCCAGCTGTCTGGATCTGTAAATGCTTCATTGCCCAAGGTAATTTTCTTTTCCAAAATTATGATCTCAATACAACACTGGGTACAATCTATTCTCTAAATCCTTGTGTGTGATTTTGTTCTAAGTTTAAAATTCTTCATCAATGACGTTTGCAATTTCGTGTTATGATTATACAGCTGTACTCTCATGGGCCCAAAGGTTCTGGACTCCCTGAAGATGATGACCTTTGTGATGGTTTCGATATGGATGAAATGGATTTGAATCTTGAAAATTATGATGAACTGTTTGGTGTATCTTTCAATCACTCCGAAGAGCTTTTCAAGAATGGTGGGATTGATAGCTTGTTTGGGGCAAGGAACATGTCCAGGGATTATCAAGATGCGGTTGCTGCTGAGGTAATTTTGTCTCCTTACTTTCGTGCTTTACGATCGAACTTTCTTGATCTCTATTTGTTCATTGGCTGGGCTGTTGTCTTTAGACTATACTGTGTAACTAAAAATTTGCTTTATTTTTATCTTACAAGTAGCCATTCTGAACTTGTGTGGTTTTTCTTTCTTAATTTAGTTGGTAAGCATGTCCAGATTTGAGTTTATAAAGTGTACTTGTGGTTAACTATTAGTGTTTTTTTATTCAGGGGTCTTCAGTTGGACTGGGAAATACACCGCAGCCAGTGTACAGTAACACGGCATCTGCTGATTCTGTAATGAGTACGAAAACTGACCCAATTATTTGCTTTCCGGTAAAACAAGCACATTCAAACCTTTCATTTTCGGGCGTTACTGGAGAGAGCAGTGCTGGTGATTGTCAAGATTGTGGGGCTTCCTCAATGCTTCTCATGGGAGAGCCGCCATGGTGTTCTCCTTGCCCTGAGAGTTCCATGCAATCGGCTAACCGTAGTAATGCTGTTATGCGTTACAAGGAAAAGAAGAAGGCACGCAAGTAAGTGTACTCCAAAAAGTAAATATATTAGTGCACGCGCACGCGCACACTGCTACTTGTTTATCATTCATTTATTCAGCCAGCAATTTTTTTCTAGTTTCTTCACCTCTTTGTATGACCACTTCTCGGAGTAGTCTTATGTTTTTTTCTTATTATTCGCCGTTTATAGAAGATGCAAGTATATAGGGTGTCTTGATTTCTTTCTGTACTTTCTTCTGGTTGAAGTGGTTACACTTTCACGGAAGTCTTATTTGGTCATGAAATTTTGCGCTGTTCCTCTCAACTGAACATCCATATTTTCTGTTGTCTTTTTGATAGGTTTGAGAAAAGGGTGAGGTATGCTTCTCGCAAAGCAAGGGCGGATGTAAGAAAGCGTGTGAAGGGCCGCTTCATTAAAGCTGGTGAAGCTTATGATTACGACCCCTTGAACCAGGCCAGAACCAGAAGCTATTGAGTACAATTTTTAACCAATTTTTTATAAAACAAAAGAAACAATTGCTGTTTGATTGTTATTACGTTACGGGAGAAGAAACTGATGCATCTCTCTTGTGCAGTGAAAAGATGTATGATTGTACCACAGGGCCTTGGTTTCGTCCGGAGATAAGAATTGATGCAAACGGCCAGGTTCTGATGCTTCGCTAATAAAGTGGAGGAGCAACTTTCGATTCTACATCACGATGACCGATTGATTGATCATGACACTATCCAGAGCGTTTGTTTCCCCTTATGTTTCTCTGGGAGAAGTTCATCAGTTCAATTGTTCTCCCGGGAGGATTCACATTGGTCTTCCAAACCATTACTATGCTTGATGTCTCGATTGTCCTGTTATTATATTTTTTCGCCCTCCTGCTCCGATAAAAGTGGCTGCCAAGGCATCTTGGTGGCTGAACGCATGTAGTTTCCAGACCATTAGATTAGCTGCGATTGTTCTTTTTTTTCCCTTTTTTCTGTTCATTTGACATACACAGGATCTGTACGTATGCCGTTGAGAGTTATGAGCTCTGACACAAGACCTTCGTAAGGTAAGACGTTAAACTCGGAACTTGTAAATTTTTCGGTTTCATTTTTGTTGGCCTGGGTAGACAAGAACAGGATGGTTTACATATGCAGTTAGTTTGTAGTTATGCCGAGGGAGATGTTATTCGCTTTTGTTGTCATAAAATGTATAAGTATCTGAACTGGACTTCAGTTCACCTTGTAATTTTAGTGTATCGTATTCGAAACTGATAATGTATTGTCAATTTTGCGTTTTTTCTGTTGTATTAAAAACGTATTCAGTTTCGCAAGCGATCTGAAGATCTTGGGAAACGCATCTGTTTCAACGATAACAATTCAGCGATGGCAACCATCATCTTCTATAGCATCATCTTCTGTAGCATTTCAATGCTCTGCTCTCAAATCAAGCTCAACCCTTAAAACCAAATGTCATGGTAGAACCAAGAGGATCCTCTTTGTGAGGATTGTGTTCGTTTATCGTATATCGATGTTCGTTTATCGTATATCGTACGGTCAGTTTTCGTCAGTTTTCGTCAGGTATGGTAGAAAGGCTAAAAAGTGTGGAATCGGAATTGAGGTCAAGCAAAACCGAAAAAAACAAGGTAAAAGAAAATTTTGCACAGAATGAAGAGCAATAACAAAGAAACTGAAAGCAGAAGAGGTTGATCATGTACATATTTTCGCCAATCGCATCATAAAACACTCATTTATAACGACCAGTAGCAACAAGGATAACATACGTTTACAAAAAGTGTGCAATCAGCACAGAGCTGTTTGTTCAGTTCCACAGCATCAATCATCATTGGAACTATCTCCAGCCACCCTTCCAATGTCATCTTCCGCAACGGTATCCTGTATGAAAATTGCAGAGCAAATGTCACTGGAATCAATAATAGCAGCTAGAAGTGTATTGTGTCACGTGTTTAGGTGAGTGCGGGAGAGTGTCTTTGACAAGTGAAACACTTAACCAAGATGTGATTACAGATGCTTACCGGCATCTTATCCCAGTCTTTCAATTTGGGATTTGTGAGCATGTAGTTATCTCTTAATGGTGCCCAGGCAGGCCCTTCCCCATCCACTGCACCTTTAGACGTGTGAGCCTGCATGTTAAATCACTCTCAGTAAACATTGGCCTTTGGCACTACCAACAATGTTATGGAACCAAGTGGTAGGAAGATAGTTACATATCAGGAAAGGACCTTCAACATCAGATATCGATCCTCCAGACAAATTTTTGAATATAAGAACAAAGAATATGTACAACCATATATGGTACATAACATATATGATTGTTCAAAACTTTGAATATAAGAAACAAGAATGTCTACAACCACTCCTTCCACCAGTGACGAACAGCAAGATGGTAAAATGCTGTGGGAGAATGGAAAGGAACTGATAAAGGAAAAAGTAGCTAACCTTCAAAGATGTTTTGCCCAACTCGGAAAAGAATGCTTCTTTCCTCCGCTTTTTTATCACTGGAATTATTTAAACAACAATATAGGTAGATTAAACACATATATTGAACAGAGGTTTCCACACTTTAAACAAACAAGTGCTCTACGGGTCTCACCAACAAAAATAACTAAGCATAAAATAATTCCCCCCTCCCAAAAAAAACCTGAGCAAGGATCATAAGTATATATGGCATAACAATGCAATTATCATGGAAGGTGACTCGGTGAGTAAAGTAAGAGTGGAAAAAGATCTTTCGGTTAGTTAGAGAATGTGTGAGGCTGCTTGGAGGACAATTGATGAGGAAGAGACAAAGAGTCCCCTCAAAAGGCCTCACCGCATACACTGAACTAATATATGCCTCCTAACTAAGCCAATATGAAATCCAAATCAATTCATATGGCTACTCAAAGAGGCAGTAAATAAAATAAAATAAAAGCATCACAAAACAACTGTTATTAACAGAGACTAGAGACTACCGCAGGTTTGTTCAACCCTGTATACGATATGATCGCAACATATTGCTTTTACTTCAGTGTAAAATTTTAGAACTAACTCAATCAGAGTTAATATCTGAAACTTAACAGCGTAATTGGCAAGAAGGAGGGTGTCAAATTGTAGCCGCAGTACTAAGAACACACCTTTGGCATCTTTAAACTTGGAAGGATTCAATCCTTTCTGAGCATTTTGTGCCTTGTTGACCTGCATTAGACATAAAAAGGAGCTCATGATTCAATGTGGCACAACGGAAACAATCTTATTATCATAACATAAAGAACAAGCAAACAATTAGATTCACGTAAAGCAACTTACAGCATTGAACAACTTCACCACTAAACATCCAGCGTTGCACACGGTAAATGTGAGCTAAGTCAGTATGAGAAACAAATTTGATAACTCCCATAAGACAAATAACACTCGATCACATATATCTTAACCAAGTGGGAAAAATTTCGGTACCTCCTTTAGTAGCAACACCGATTAGAAACTTTTCGTGTGTGTCTAAATAGTTGGCCGGCATCACATGCCCCTTTTCTATCACCTATCAAATCAAAACAATCTACACAAATAAGCATTAAACCTCTCAAGGAAAATGTTGGATGCATACACATTACAATTAAAAACAAAATCGAAGTTGTGAACTACCGTGTGCTTTTCCTTCTTAGCCTCGCCCTTTGCCTTGCGCTCGGACTGCTCCTCGGCAAGCTTTTCTGCAACAAGCTTCTTGTGCGCCGACATCACGGGTCCCTGCAAAGCAATCAAACATTTTCCTTTAACACACAACAAACTCCCAAAAACTAAAGAATTAGACATAGCAGCTCAATTCTATATAACTCACCACTGCATCCTGAGAAACAGACTTCTTGATTATACTCCTGAATGCCAACCTAAACGCGTTGCAACCCTCCGAAAACTTCATGATTCCGGGCAGAATCTCGCCGTGCTCCTCGTCATCCGAAAAGCCATCATCCCTATTGTGACCACCAACACCTTCCTCCGCCTCTTCCCCTGAAGACGACCCACCACCGCCACTCGGCTCCTCCTCATTGTTTCCCAACGGTTGCGGATGCGGTTTCGGTTTCACATGTTCCTGTTTGGACTCCTCCTCCTCCTCCTCCGAATCGTACTCCCGGGCTCGTTTAAGAAACAGTTTCTTCATTTTCTTGTTAATCTTCTTCGGCTTCATGGCTCTGATTTCCTCCGACGAATGTAACATCTTCGCCCTCTTCTTTGCCTTGGAGCCCTTCTTCTTCCCTATTTTCCGCTTCCTTGGCTCTGCTGCTTCTTCTGGAAGATGGTTTTCTTCGGCCATGGCGTCCTGTGCTCCAGACCAAATCAAGGTTGAATCTTTGGCCGCCGCCGCCGCTGCTGCTTCAGCCGATAACTGGCTGGGAACAAAGAATAATTAATACCAGAGAAGGAACTGTGACCCGGCGGCACTACTCGCGAAGAAGAAGATGGTTTGCCCTATTCTTGTCATTTTAATATTTCTTTAGACGATGTCGTTTTACTAAAGGGTTTTTTTTTTTAACTTTAATGAAAAGTTTCCGTACTATTCACTTTAACGAAAAACCACATTTTTACACTAAAAAGTTAATCTTGTAGTATTCATTTTATCTTTTATTTTATCTTTATCGTTAAAACTCAAAATTTTTAAGCTCTTTTCATTAGTTTTTTTTTTTTTTTTTCAATTGTAGCACTTGATGCAGTATTTGAGAGGCGAAAAGTAAATTATGTTTATGGATTCTGATGCAAGTTTGATCTTCATCGATTTTGTCACGAACAATTTAGGTTGTTACTTGTTGAAAACTTAAACAGTTTCTGTTGATACCTATTCACTTTTTAAAACAATTTCAATTGTCATCAACCGAAAGCTCTATCGCAGTATGACTACTAATATGTGCATCATATAAAATTCATGCACGATGAAAAATATGAAGCCATACTTAAGTAGAGCCATCCAATAGTCGATTAGTGTTCTATTCGTCATAAATAAGGTTTTTTAATCTACGTGTGTGATTATCTTTGCTCTTAGTAATTAAGGTTTACTTTGTTCTATACCGAAGAGAGTAAATCTGAAATCTTGAAGGAAATGATTTTTTTCGTGTAAGGTTATCTTTATACATGCAACGTTACAGAGGCGGTATGCTCTTGGAGAGAAAAATCATGAATGCAAAAATCGTCTTTCAATCTTTACATGTTCTTATTTTTGTGAGCACTGTTTTATGCAATTGGTCATCGTCCGATTAATCTTTAGGTGTTTGAAAATTAAGAAATGATGTCTAAACCTGCTTAAGCGTCTGTTCAGACTTGCCTAGGAGCTCGTCTAGGTCGCAACTCTAACTTTGATAGAAAATAGATAACTTTCATTTTGTATTTTATTTTTTTAATAAATTATAAGAGACTTGTTAAATACTTCGATGACCATATATTATATACTTGTTCCCTATATTTTTATTATATTTTAATACTTTATAATCTATATGTCATTCTATTTCATAATATGTGTATATGCAATTATGTATTTTTTTTAAATATAAGCAAGCATTTGTTTATACAATATACAACAAATTTATTCAAATAAGCCTAGGTCACCGTCTAACCATCTAAGCACTAGGCCATAATCCACTGTCCGACCAACGTTTAACGTCTTTTAAAACCTTAATTTTGAGAGCCTTTTGCAAGAGAGAAAATGAAAGACATTACAATGAGATGGGGGGAACGGGCTTGGGCAACCAACTTGGGCTTGATGATTGGCTTTTTGGTCTCGTCCTAGTGTTGGTGAACTACTACTACTACTACTACTTTTTTTGTCGAAACTACTACTTCAATTGGCTAAATTTGCATACGTTTGGCAACCGAATGGATAATTTATGAATTCATTTGAAAGACACGGAAGAGGATTTAAATTTGGATGCAAAGGATCAAGCATATTGTTATAGTTAATATGACTATATTTATAGGATAGTGCTATTTATACAATTTTTTTTTATCTTTTACACACTCCTCTCAATTTTTGGTTGTCGGATCGAATAATTGAAGGGATTAAAAAATAGAAATTAACAAGTGTATAGAAGATAAAAAAAGATGTGTAAATAGTATCATCCATCAATATGCAAATAACTCGAATTTTAAGCTCCAAAATGTGATGATATGATGAGATATATATACTTGACACATCCCGACCCGGAATGTCCACTAGGACCCCAAATTGAGTTGTGCTAGTCGACACCTGGAAGGTGACGATGCCATAAAGTGTGATAGTGTATAAAATGTGAATAAATTAAAATCTAAAAGTGCTTAAGTACACGAGTGCGCGATGAGCGGGTCTGGACCCATTTCACGCGTGATACAGAGTATAGGTATAGTACAGTAAGATAAGATAATGATTACACCATCATAAGAAGACATTTGTACTGAAAAGTGCCACGAATCCTCATCGATACAAAACTCTGTTGCTAGAACTTGGAGGGGTGTAAAAAATAGAAAATGTGAGTGAGCGAAATAAAACTTTTCAAATCAATTTCAATTATCAAAGGCAGTAACCCCTTACCGTAACACCTGTATAATTTCCCAAATTATCACATCCCCACTTGAACCCTCATCACTTCCCGGGCTAGGATGTGACATAATTCTAGTGGTGAGCTATCTACTTCTTTTGTTTATATCTTTCACGTGCGCATGCTGATGTGTTTTTGAAAGAGCGAACAAACAAATCTATAAAAATTGACAAGCTAGAATGACTTTCTAGCAATTCTAGGCAAAATTTAGCTAAAAATGGGTACCTTTGGATATACTCTACTTCTAAACGAGAGATTTTTTAAAGTAATCAATTGTGTACAATTATATGTCTGCTTTTTTTCTCATATATCTACTAATGAAATATAAAAATGTGGTTGTATTCTATCAGCGAGACCAACTTCAATCCTTGGGTTAAAACCTAAAATATTTAGGTTTTTAACCTAGAAACAGTTTTTCTGCTCCAACCTTTTGGGTTCAATTTTTAGCTGAGATTATTAAAGAATGAATTTAAGATTAATTTTTTCTTAAAGTAACATTTTAGAAAAATATAAATTATGTAGACTATTCTAATTTAATTTTATGAACATTTTAATCAAAATATATTTAGATTCCAATAAATATTGAAAGTCACTAAACTGACACTATGAAACTCGTGGAACAGTACGAAGGAATATCAAACACATGAATTTAAAAATATATATATATATATATTTTAGCCGTTGGATTTAAATTTGGACCTTTGGATTATTATTATTTTTTATTGTTAGCTTTGATCATATTAAATCTTAATCGTCGGATTCAATGAATTTAAAAATATAAAACTAAAAAAAATACACATATATTCCGGATCAGCCCACTAACCTAGGGAGAATTCTGGGCTAATTTGTCCAAAAAATGAATTTTAGGTTAAAATTCATATTTGGTCCAAGAATTAGAATAAATTAAGATAAATTTAAAATATAAAATTTAAGTTAAAGTAAATCTAATAAAATAGATGTTCTTAAAATTCCAAACTTATTACATGAAGGGCAATGCCTATTTTACAAATAACTTACAATGAGTGAACTCATGAATTTTGTTCAAGAAAAAGGACAAATAATTTGAGAGAAAAAATAATATAAAAAAATCGACGTCAATGGGCACGCACTCAAGATGGTAACGAGAGGTAGGGTTTGCAAATTGACAAGACAAGTTCAGTCAGATAAGAGATGGATGAGCACGTGAAATTCACCTGATACCACATCATTATCAGGCTTTTCCTATCAGCTGGTTTTGGCTAAAGTTCAACGAACTTCTATGGCCCTACACGGCTCCTCTCACCTTGTAAAACAAAACAATGATACCGTATGCCGACATGAGCGTAATTGTATTGACTAAATTATACATGTGCGCACGCAAAAGGAAATGTAAATTTTTTCGTAATTTAGATACTTTGACAAATGTCGTTTATTACTAAAAGCACATGAAGATTTCACTCACAAATAATAACATGCATATTTTAGACAGTCCTTGAAAGTATGAGAATGTTGGTAATCTGTTGTTTCGAGTTTAGAGTTTAGGGTTTAAAGATGCCGATTTGCTGTAAGTTCCGGAATGCTAATTTGTGAAGAGATTAGGAGAGCCATTGGAGGAGGAGAAAGAGGCACCCAGAATCTAGGGTTTCCATTAGGGATGGGCAAAATACATGCAGTTACCCGCCTATTTAAACATCACGGTTACGGTTATGGGTATAACCGTTTACTTGTGAAATTTAAATGGATGGTTATGGGTCTTAACCGCGGTTATAAACAGGTAACCGTTTATACATTTATTTTATATATGCAAAATTAATACAAACCATGTTCTCAGTCCAATAATACTTAGCACCCAATAAATAAGCAAGGAATTCATCGGTCCTTCTCTCAATAACACTGCTGCAGGAATGATAATTCTCATCCACAAGGAATTCGCCAAATTAATTTAAATTCTTTGCGGGTAACCGTGAAATTGACTGAAATGACTTCGAAACAATTTTTGTAACCCAATAATACTTAGCAAATATTATATTACCTTCATTGGTTACAATTAAAAATATCGTTCGTAAACTATTATTTCAATTATTGAAATGGTACAAGGACTAAAAAAATTAAAATATAGAGATGTATGATGAATGTACCTATAACGGTATTCAATTGTCAAAAAAAAAAATTATGACAATTTTTTTTTTTAATTTTCAAGTTGTTAAAAAACATGACGGGAGAAAAAGGGGTAATGGTAAAAAAAAAAATTGGATAAACGGGTTAAAAAGGGTAAATGGGTATTAAACGATTATGGTTAAATGAGTATGCGGTTATGGGTATGGTTAACTGTTTATGAACAGTTATGAGTATGGATATAACTGTTTAGGCAATTACTCAACAGGTAAACGATTATGCGGGTATAAGCATAAACAATTATGAATAAATAATTACGATTACCCATCTGCCATAATCGTTGTCCATCCCTACTTTCCATTCCTTTATTCATGACATTGCAGACCAAACTTATCGATGAGCATATAAAATATAATATATATATTTATATATATTTATATATATATATTATATTTTATATATTTCATCATCAAATTTGTGCTTGATGCATGTCGGATCTGTATTATTGCATCCACAACCGTCTGAACTTGTCAGGCTTTAAAATATTTTCCAGGTTACACATCAAACTGTGCATGTGCAGGTCCATGTCCATATGTGCGTGCACCAGCTGACAGCCAGTGGAGTCACCAACAATAATGTTGGTCTAGTCCACGTCCATTAATTATTACCATGC